GTTCTCAAGGCAACTTAGCTTGGGGTCTGACATTCGGACAAATCGACTGTCTGGCATTCCGTATACATGGAGCTGCAAAATTGCAGCAGCCCCTTGGGTCTAAACCAACCAAAACATGACTTTGTTTCGTCGGACTCACCACAAGCTCCAGAACCGTTGGTGTTTGTACAGTGTATGCTCAGTTGAACAAAAAGCACCGGATCTCCTTCAGTACCTCATGTCTTCTCAGACCTTCATGACACATGACACATCTGCTCCCTGCCTGATGCCTCATGCTCGAGCCGAGCGGCTCGTGTAAATGCCGACAGGAACGCAGCTTGAAGCTCTGCTGGCCGAAGCGCTCCTCGGTCATCATCGGTTGGATCGCGGCCGAAGAAATCAGGAACACCGTGGCAAAGTCCAAAAAATCGTGAACATGTCTTGTTTCAACCGATTCTGTTTGTTGGTTGACCGTGTGTGGTTGACTCTCGATAAATTGATCCTATGTGATGCTTGGGGTCCGTATGTGACCTCCTCACCGTATCTGGACTGAAGATCTGGACTCAAACTGCCTTGAAGTATCAGCTGAGCTTGTGACTACCGGCGCCGTGCCTTCATGCCGGAGATTCATGCTGTGCCCTCACCCCCTGTGGGGGGATCGGATCATATGTCCCACAGGCGGCCCAGGCACCAAAAATGACTCTCGCTGCCAGGCTTTGCTCCAAGCACTTGCACCACCGCGGAGCAGAAATGGCCAGCTCGCATCAGGTCTGCGCGAAATCACCACAAACACGCGCACGGTCTCGAATGCGATTTAGGCGTTGTTCGAGGAAGGCAACACACCTTCAGAAACCCAGGTTTCCATGAGTGATCCAGTCTCAGAAGTCTACAATGTCTACAAGTTGCAAGCACCCAGTGAAGAGGTTCTTTGAAAGTGGATCCACTTTCCAAATACGTATAATATCGTATAATGGCTATAATATGTTATAATGGCTACTTTACAACGCCTTAAACAATATCCAAATGAAACATCACCGGCCTCTCATGTGCTGCCTGGTGGCTCGGCACATCGTCCGGTTTCCGGTAGACCTCGGATCGAGCCGCCAGGATCGAGCCCACCAGGTGGACCAAACGAAGGTGGAACCGGATGTTCATCGGTTCGAATTAGACCGGTCTTGATGTGCAAAGATAGACCAGGATCGGAGGTACAGGCTTCTGAGAAAACAGTTAAGAGCCAAAGCAACTTGCCTGAGACTCGAGTCGAGTATATGAACATTTGACTGTAGGGGTCAAGTCCATGCAGGAGAAAACAAATCAGTGGCACTCATCCTTCGGGATTGGTGCCAAGACGTGTTGAGTGCTTCAACACTTCGTGAAAAACAGCGGCCGGACCACCGGTACCGGCCTCGTCGGACCCGAGCGACTGAGCGACCGAGCTTTCTGGGTGGTGGATGTTTAGAGTCATTTCCGTTCAAAAACATCAGCTGGAACAATGTTGATAGTGTGAACAAAATATAACAAAATTGATGGTGCCATGTTTTCTCTCAACTCTACACAGTCAACCGCTTCTTGTAGATATCAACGCATCCTTTGAAAGTAGCTCGGATGAATTGCACCAACAATGATCAAAACAGTTTGTGTGGTGATCATGAAGCCTACTACTTTGACAATCTTGGCTCTAAAACTGAAGCTTCAAAACTTCATCCCTCAGTCGCACATGAGCCCTGCTGCCCCGCAGCGAGTGCTTCGAGAAGCTCCTGCAGCGAGCTTCGCACATCAGGGCCTTTGAAGGCTTTGGGGGGGTGGCTTTGGGGGGGTCACACCAGTGAGGTTCAAAACAGCATCAGTAATATATTATTGTTTCTAGTAGCGATGGCCTCCAACCCAATAGCGATGGCATCCACCCTAGTAGCTTCATATATATATATACACACTATATTATATACAGCAAAGAGATCATGGAATCTGGAAAGCGGCAACACAGTGTTGGTGGATGTACCGAGTTTTTTTTGCATGGATAAGTGGGGGCGGGCATGAGATGTGTTAATTTCAAAAAGACACATTCTCAACCCAAAAAACGAAAGCTAAGACAAACGATACAACATCCACAATATGACAAGTCAAAAACTGTTGTTGAAAAAACAACATAATATATATAACAAAAATAAACAAACACAAGTGAGAAAATTCTACTCTCATTCTACTCAATATTATTGCACATCTCTATATGTTCATATTGTTGTTAATGTATCGTTTGTCTATACATCTCTTTTTGGGGTGTGTGACCTCTAAATCCAATCTATGTGTTTTAGTGAGCTTAGCTGGCACGGGCCCTAATTTTTCCTTTTGAGCATCCTGTTGGGGGGGGGGTTATTGAAAACGAGTCCTTGCAGTATGTGCTGAAAATGTCCTCACTACGTCCACTCCCTGAATGCTCTCAGAAGGAACACCAAAATACCATGAGACCTCAAATGAACCACCATGATCCTCCATGTCCCCAAATAGAACCTTGGGCGTCTTCTTCTCCCCAGTCTGGTGGCGCGAATCAAATTATGTTCGTGCATGTGTATGGAACTCAGGATGGTTTCTATTCCAAGTGAACTCCCTGCACTCTGCCCAACATCATTGTCCACACCGTCCAAGCAATCTGCGCCGTGTCCTCTCGACCACGTGCTTCCACCCATCCATAGCGAACCAGTGAGCTGCGCACACGGCGCATCCGTTCGGCGCTTCGGTGCTTCCGTTCGGTGCTGGCCTTCTCTCTCTGTCTTCGGCGCCGATGTGGAGCCCAAAGCTTGCCGAATCCGTCAACCAAAAAACACTTGTTCAACATCAACGACATATTTTAGAGTCTGTGGCCCTGTTCCTCCTAATTAACGTGCAAGAGTAGGAACTGCATGGACCTTGTCTGGACCCTGTTTCAGCGGTTTCTCGTTTCTGTCAATTTCATCTAAAAAAGTCATCTTTTAGCTCTGTTTGAGAATCGAAAACTACAAATTTTGCACGATTTCCTTGATGTTCCCATGTCCATGTTGAACCATGTTGAAATATGTTGAACCAATTTTGTCCTATATTTGTATACGTATTTAGTGTGTCAGAGGCCGCTCAAAGATCCAAAATGTCACGGCAGTTGCAGCCTGGGCACCCCGAAGACCACCGAGTCCGTCGATTTTTTGAGCACGTCGAATGATTTTCTGGCTACGAAACGATCCTGATGTTTCACCGAACCCCACGGCCGTTGAAAACAAACCTATAGTTTGCCTATGGGCCTATGGGTATGGGTCTCCCCTGGTTGACCACCATAAACGAACAAAATAGATTACCAAACAAGGTCAATTGATCAGGGTGAAAAAGTGAACTGGCTTCGACCCACTTCAGCAGCGAAACCATTTCACGGTGCCAGTTTCAGCCGGATCGAGGCTCGACATTTTGACAGGTCGCCAAGAAACGCAATAGAAGTCGAGTCGGGTCCCAGGTTTTTCATCGAGCTGGGTCCGGTGTTCTCGTCGAGTCGAGTGAGCGACTGGTATAAATTGTTTGTGTTTGTTTTGGCTTCAGAACGAACCAGAATAGCTTTATTGTTTGATTTTCCCCAAATAACTGCAGGCTATAAGGGTTCTTCTAACTTCTGAAAGGTGTGGCTCTGGATCGGCGTTTTGGTTTTGCAGGTGCTGCTGCGGTGTTGATGCTGGTGCAGGCGGAGGTGCTGGCTCTGGATCGGCGTTTTGGTTTTGCAGGTGCTGCTGCC